CTTTTACATTCTTAAGCATCAAATAATTGTTGTGTAATGAAGTTAGAGTCACACAACAATATAACTTATGGAAATAGCACAAAATTTTGTGTAATAAACTTTTTCGATCAGTTGTCCTCTGGCCAGTGCTGCAACTGTAATGATTAATGTTGTTATTTTGGTACAGGCTTTTGGTAAATACTCTTGCAAAAGCGCCTCAGTCTGGAAAATCTGAAGATGTGCCATATAAGGCTTCTTGCTTAACTCATTTACTGCAAGAATCAATTGGTGGCAATTCAAAACTAACGGTCATCTGCGCTATCTCCCCAGATAACAAGTATTTGACTCTAATCTACTAAATTCTTTATATAATATAAAGTTCGATTTACTATTGATATGCCCAGATACATTTGTACATACATGTGGCCATTGTGTTGTCATTTTTTTTTGGAAGTGTGCTTGATAGGTTTTATAGTATTCTGAAACATTGCTTGTGCTTCTTAAATGCAGAAATGATGGTGAGATACTGCGAACACTAAGGTTTGGAGAACGAGTGAAATATATTAGGAATGAGCCAGTAATAAATGAAATAACAGAAGATGATGTCAATGGTCTGACTGATCAAATTCGTCAGTTGAAGGTACTAAGTTCTTTAGAGTTCTATCTGGAATTATGCCATGAAAGCTGAAGGTAATAGGAATTTGATGTTAATGAAATGTGTGTTTGCAGGAAGAACTTATAAGAGCAAAGTCTAGTGGCTCAGTTGGGAGTAATAATGGATATTTTCAAGGCCGAAATGTACGTGAAAGCTTGAATCAATTACGAGTGAGCCTGAATCGCTCTTTGATTTTACCCCACATAGATAATGATTCTGATGAAGAGGTAAATGTGGATGAAGATGATGTAAGAGAATTACGTCAGCAGCTTCTGCAGAATTCTTCTGAAGATATAAGAGATTATTCTGTCAGTAGAGATTCTGTTCAGTTTGGTGGAAGTTGTGATACAGACTTGGCCAGTGAAGATGATTTTCATAGTTCAGACGAAAAGGAAATTGATCTGAAAGAATCTCAGGATGAGCTTCCTCTTCCTTCTAAGGACAACTTTGAATTGGCAGACAACAGTGTTCTTACCACCTCGAAGGCTATCAATCCAGCAATCAAAAGTGGTGTTTCAATCAGTTTATGCTGTCAATCTCCATTCCTCCAAGACCCAACGTTGTCTGAGTCTCCAAAGCTTAGAAATGCACAAAGAAAAAGTGTCACCTTTTCATCGATTTGTTCAGCCAGTCAGAACAATATACCAGACAATTCCAAGTTAAAGTCAGATGTATTGAGACAGTCACTTAATCAGAATGAACATACTCAATCCTCTTTGCGTTCAAGCAAGATATTTCCAGGCCCCACTGAGTCATTGGCTGCCAGCCTTCAGAGGGGCTTACAGATTATTGACCATCACCAGCAGAACTCCGCACCTAGCAAATCGTCAGTCTCGTTCTCCTTTGAGCACTTGACACTGAAACCTAGGCCAGAAGTTGACAAAGCTAATTCTTCAGCTCAGACAATACCAGAAACAAGGCCATCCATAGATGGACCATCTGCCTCTCTACTTTGTGCATCTTGCAAAAGAAGAGTGTTTAAAGATGATACCAATGATGCCCAGGATAGCTTGAAGACATGGACCGTAGCAGTTAATGAAGCAGGAAGTTCTAACCTAATGACAGAGGTGCGTTAAGCTTACCTGGACATTAAACTCAGGAATAAATTGTGATATGGGAATCCTTCCTAATTTCTATTTTCTTTTAATCAGCATGCAATGGAAAAGGCTGCAAAGCACGAGGAGCTTGAGATTCGTTGCATGGAGCAAGCAGCTAAAATTGAGCAATTAAATCAACTGGTAACTTTTTTTTCTTTGGGTTTGAAACTCAGTGAATTATTATGTCTTCTACATAATTTCGATATTACATTCTGAGAATCTGATTTATTGTTTCAGGTCGAGCAATACAAAAGTGGGAAATCTGATTCATCTGCAGAAAATAGTAAAGAAATGATACCATATGATGAGTTCAAAGATGGAAACAAGGTAGGTCGGAACGGTGTATGTTTTTTCAAACTTTTGGGGGTTTTAATAGGAACTTCCTAAATGTGGATGTTTTATAGTTCTCTTACATGTTCTTGATAATTTTTGCAGCTTTTGAGGTGCAGTTCTGTTGATATTCTCCAACCAGAGATTATAAAGGAGAAATGTGAAATAAAGGAAATCCAGAATGAGTTGGATCTTGGGTATGGAGGTGCAGATTTTGATCTAAATGAGAAGGAAGCACTTCTTAAGGAGGTTCAGATGTTAAGGAGCAAATTGCAGTCACGTACTGATGCATCACCCAACAAATCTATTGAGAAACTGAGATCCTCTTTATTGTCACGATCCATGCAACTGCGAAAAAGTGGTACATATGGAGATAACACCGAGGAAGAACTAGAGAGGGAAAGACAGAGATGGACAGAAATGGAGAGCGATTGGATTTCCTTAACTGATGACTTGAGGGTAGATCTTGAATCCAACCGCCGGCGAGCAGAGAAGGTGGAGATGGAATTGAGAATGGAGAAGCAGTGCACTGAAGAGTTGGATGATGCACTTCATAGATCTGTGCTTGGGCATGCTCGAATGGTTGAACACTACGCTGAACTACAAGACAAATATAATGACTTGGTGGGAAAGCACCGTGCAATCATGGAAGGAATAGCAGAAGTGAAGAGGGCAGCGGCAAAGGCTGGAGCTAAAGGTCGTGGTTCTCGTTTTTCCAAATCCCTTGCCGCAGAGCTCTCTGTACTGAGAGTGGAAAGAGAGAGGGAGAGGGAACTTTTGAAGAAGGAGAACAAAAGTCTCAAGATTCAACTTAGAGATACTGCAGAAGCTGTTCATGCTGCTGGAGAACTCCTTGTTAGGCTTAGAGAAGCTGAACATGCAGCATCTGTTGCAGAGGTAACTCATATTTTACCCTTAAAACGCTATCTTGGTGCTCTGGATATAACTCATAAAGGGATCAGATTATAATAATGCAAGTGTTTGTGTCTCTCATTTGTGTTTTTTCATCTCTTTTCCCATAAACACAGGAGAATTTTACGAGCGTGCACCAAGAAAATGACAAGTTGAAGAAGCAAATTGAGAAGCTTAAAAGGAAGCACAAGATGGAAATGATCACCACGAAGCAGTACCTGGCAGAGAGTAAATTGCCAGAGTCTGCTTTAAAACCACTATATCGCGAGGATTCTGCCAATTCACAAAACACAGTCCTGGATGATGATCAGGCATGGAGAGCAGAATTCGGAGCCATATATCAAGAGCATTACTGACTGGTTGAAAGTTGAAACACCAGGAGAGCTGGCTTAAGGGAACTTCTGCAGACTTGCACTGCAACCTAACTTTGAATCATTTATCAACCTGCATGAGACCCAACTTGGGTTCATGCAATATACAACACTATTATGAATTCATTCCGTTATTATTTATTTATTTTTTTCTCTATGCTTTTGTATGAATCATTGGAGATTCATTCTCAATTTCAATTTCTACTAGCATGCTTCAGTGTTTGATGTTAAGTGTTAATGTTATCTATATTCTTAATTCTTGCTGAAAGTATGTTTTCATATAAGTTTTTGTGAAGACTCGTTATGGTAAAACATTTATTCTTAATTCTTGCCAAACTCTTGTAAAATCATAATAATTAAAAAATAAAAATGACTGAGACCTTATAGAGCCGTGCAAACTCTTTACATATTTTAATTTTACTTCCATATCTCCAAAATTTATGTTACAAGGTGTAAAACAATTAATTGTTATATAAATATGTAATTATAGAAAAAAATTATTCGGGCCCTTGTTTTGGAGAACATGGCACTTTCAGTTGGTGCCCCTTTGGTCCTTATTGATGATCATGGTCGTTTCATTTTGTGCCCCTTTGGTGCTTATTGATGTCAATCATCCAAAGAAAACAATGATAAACATGAATTTTGAATTTGGAGTTTGGTGACAATGACATGTTAATTTCTTCCAATATCGCAAAATTTCAACGTCTTGTGACATATAAGGACATGAAAAACTCCTAAAGACTGCATTTAAAGTTGCAAAGACACTTAAAAAGTTGAATAACAAAGTTGCAGAAACATTTGAGTGAAAACTTTCTACCAGTCATCCCTTTTAAAAAAGAGTATTGAATCCTTGAAGCTAATAAGAAAGTTTGTCAAACAATAAGGCAATGTGTAATTGACTAGATTTTCAAGTGTACATACGAGGAGAAATAGTTTGTTTTTGGATCTTCTAAGACATTCCATAAGATGGGAAATAAAAACTCATAATGTTTATATAGATATATGTTCTGGTATGCATGAAAAGGATGGCATCCACCAATCATATTCAGTGTTATAATATAGGTGGATTGATAACACCACGTGACAGTGTTACAGTTATATTGAAATTTTTTTACACCCCTAAAAACCCCCCTCCCTTAATCCAACTTTTATTGGTTCATGGCACATGGACCAATAAAAATCTAACTCGAACTCTGTCTTTAAAATACAATTGATAAACTTGACCATATATATTGATTTATGTTTTTTTTCTTTCTAGATAGTAGTAGTGAATCATTAATGTAAATGATTGTCTAAGGGTAGTATGGCCACCTATTGGGCCAATATAGGCAGCGATTGGTCCAATGTAGGTGGATTTTGGGCTTGGGGATGCTGGTAAAAGAAATACCTTTCCTTCCACCTATGTAGGTGGCTCTTGCATATTTCTCCTCGACTTTGCAGACCTGGGTGATCGAAGATATTGAAAAGATTGTACCCAAAAAATAAATTAATCACTCATCCCACAACCCGAGTCGAATTCCGATCATCGATACATCGGATAAGCGATAGCGAGAGGGAGATGTGAATTTAAGTGAAATAGATAAAGTGTTATTTATGCGTTTTCAAGAGGAGCAATCCTCCTGTTCTACGATTTATCTAAATCATAAGTTGACACACGATTCACATAAGTTGATTTTGTGGTAAACAAAACAACAAATTCTAATTGGGGAAGTCAGGATGTCATCATATAGGAGAACAATTCTCTCTTCCCATCCACAAGATGTTAATGAAAATAGCCAAGAACCTGCCCCCCCACATTACGTTTAACAGCCTCTTCGTGATCCAGCACCCCTTCGGGAGTAGTAATCACAACATAACCCCACTGCATGAAGAGAGAGAAAGACCATTTAAAAAAAATTCCAAACACAGACCTTCCCAGACATAATAAACGGGACAAATAAGAATCAAGTAATTTTGACATGTCTTTCGACATCAGGAGGTTAACAAACCTGGCGGGTTGGAAGCTTTTGCATTTTGTACTCTTCAATATCCCTTGCCTTGACATCCTGTCTGTAAGTAAGAGCTCTACAATCATTAACCCTGCCTTGTAGTTGAACTGTTATCTTCCCCACTCTATGTGGATCAAAAACTTGAAAATCCTTGATATAACCTAAAGAAAATGTGCCAAAATAGACTATGTAGTAAAAAGATTGGTAAAGCCCTACCTACCAAACTCAAAAATCTCGTGCTAAAGAGCATGGAGGTTATGAGTCATCGTCAAGACATAATGTTGAATATTAGACATGCTCATTAACTAGGCAATGAATCACCCATTGTTCAACTCTTTGGCAACATGGAAACCAGAAGCTATCTATCCAAGAAGAACCGGACATGATAATTTTTCATCATCTAGCTCAAGCACGAAAATTTGACATTTTGCAAGGGGTTTGTCTTGAGTTCTCTTCAATTTGGCGCACAGTTCTTACCCAAAAAAAGAAAAGAAAAAGAAAAGGTCAAAGAACCCACTGATGTAATAGTTTGGAGTAATTGCTCCCCAAGATAAGGTTTTGGGTTCGAGTCTTAGCATTCATGTTGTGTGTATAAGTTTAGTATATTATCGTTCATCTCAATAAGAAAAATCCTTAAAAAAATAAAAATAAAATTGAAAATGACTAAAGCGACCCCGTTTTGGCATGTCAGGAAATAATAAAGAAATAATAAACAAATTAAAATACGGATGACACAAGAAGCTGTATTGTTGTCTGAGTTTTGGATTTGAGTTCTCTGCTTTTTAAGAGATTGATTGATAGAAAACAGAAAGAGTAGCGGCCATGGCGACGACGTCGGTGGATTCTCCAAAGCCTGACACGGACACTGAGCTCGATACCAATCCCAACCTCAACCCTAACCCTAATTCTTCAAACTCGTTAGTCCCCACCTCCTCCAATGGCCCTGCTGTGTGCCTTCTCAGGTTCGCCGGAGACTCCGCTGGCGGTGCATTCATGGGCTCCGTTTTTGGCTACGGTCCTCTCTCTTTCCCTCTCCTTCTCTCTGTGTATATGTATATATATGTTTACATGCCTGTGTGTGATGCTTTAATTGCTTAATTGTGGTGTTTCTATGTGGGAATTTGAATGGTGCTCATATAGGATTTTGAATGTTTGACAAAATATGATTTTATTCAATAGTGTTTTGGGGTTTGCGAAAAGGAGTGAGTATTCTCTTACTGACTAACGAGTTGTTGGAGTTTTTTGGTGAGGTATGCTAGTGTTTTAAGATGTGAAATTGCGGTTTTTAGGGAAAATTTGTGTTATGTTAGTTGATTTATTGTTGTATTAGGGAGTGTAATTTGTATCATTTCCTGCTGGAATTGATAAGACGGTAGAACAATAAATTGGGGTTAAGTTATATTAAGAGAAAGAGGAAATGAGGGCGGTAGGACAAGCCAAGCCACTCAAACTTGGCTTGAGTTTGGCTCGATTTATTCAGCAATCACTCCGCCATGTTTAGATAATGCCAGTCATTTATGTGTGCCATGTTCCACATAATGAGGGCATTAGAACAAACGAAGCCACTCAAACTTGGTTTGGGTTTAGGTCAATATTGTGTTTCTCAATTTGGCCTGAAATTTTATACTCGTTAAAAAAGCTAGAGATTTGACACTGGCTTGTTATCAAGTTTAGCAATGGATTATTAGATGAGCAAACGCTGTTTAAGCAATCTACTACTCAACTCAACCTAATTTATCTTCTTTTTAATTTAATTTTATTTATGTTTATGTCGCATATGAATCAAACTGAGATTTTTTGTTTTACCTTGTGTGAATGTGTTTCAGGGGCGGGGTTGGTTAAGAAAAAAGGCTTTAAAGGATCCTTTGCAGAGGCAGGATCTTATGCTAAGGTATGAGAATTCCTATTGTTAAATGATAGTTTGACTATCTGAGGGAAATTAGTTCTGTTTTTTTTTCTTCTTAAATGTTATTATTGCCTATGCAGTATGTTTGTTTAATTACAGTAGTTAAGCTCTTCTTTGTATTTCCCCTTTCAGACATTTGCAGTTTTGTCTGGAGTGCACAGCTTGGTTGTCTGCATTTTGAAGAGGCTGCGAGGAAAGGATGATGGTATGAGAACTTGAATGTGGAATTGGTACATTCACATTATTCATTCATTATCTCATGATCATGCTTTTTTCCTGCGCAGTTATTAATGCTGGAGTAGCTGGATGTTGCACTGGTCTTGCTCTTAGTTTTCCAGGTATCCATCATATCATCTAGTTCAATAGTTTATAAATTAGTAAATGACACATTGACTTACAAACGTCTTCACCGTCATTACAGATTCAAATACCTCAAAAGAAGTGACACATTGATTTTGTTGCTAAAACAAGATCCTTCATATCTACAAAAATCCCACTTCTTTTCATTCTTATTCATTTTTGGCTTGTCACTCATGCTTGGCATTTCTACATCAATCAATTAAACCAGTTTTTGTATGGTTTAACGTATCTTTTAGAATAGCTATTTTTGGTTGGGAAGTTCTTAGGTCTGGACGTACATATTTATTCGTTATTTGATTCTGATTTTGCAGGTGCACCCCAGGCTCTTCTACAAAGCTGCCTCACTTTTGGAGCATTCTCATTTATTATTGAAGGCCTAAATAAGCAGCAGCCAGCTTTGGCACATCCACTCTCTGTGAGGAAGAAAAGTGAGCAACTTCCTCCCTTGGTGCTCCCTCTTCAACTTTCACTTCCAGGTGAACTAAAAGCGGGTTTCAGCTCATTTTGCAATTCCTTGAAGAACCACAAGAAGGGCACTTCTCACACAGCCTAAGAAATTTTGTCTCATCATGCTTTTATGCCTTTTGGTCTTGAATTCAAGTGTTCCTCTTGCTGTTATTTTTTTCTTCAATTGCTGGGTAAGACATGATAGTATGTGGTATGTAAATTTTTAGTTGAAATTCTAGTTGCAAGTTATGAATTCACTTCTTGATTGTGAAATCTGGTAGATTGATGGTACACATTGCTGATTTTGCCGGATTGAGGAACCATGAATTTGATCCTCCATGCCTGACTCTGTTTTGCAAGTCACACTTTTTCTCATATCTCAGTGACTAGTGATAACGAGAAGGAAGAAGAAAGGAGAAAGAAACAGTTTTCAACTTAACACAAACTCTAAACAGGCCCCGCGATTCTGAGGCCTTCAAAACTTGGGATCCTACCATCTTTGATTGCAATATCTTGTGATTAAAGTAAATAAGAAAATCAAAGAGTTGAGCCATATCAAATCAAATCAAATCAAATCAAAGAGTTGAGACAAGTGATAACGAGAAGGAAGATTATATGTAGATTATCATTTATTAAGGCTAATACGTTTAAGGATTCGACAAAGCTAGCTCGAGATTTGCCATGTAATTGTTAGGATAAACAGGTAGGAATGAAGTTGGGTTCATGAACCCTTATGGTTAATTATGCATTTGGATGGAAAGATTTAGAAGTAAGGAAATGGATTTTGGTAAGGTTATATTGTCCGGCAAATATAATATACAAATGTATTTGTTTTGTTTCTTCATAATAAACACCTATTTTGTAAATAAAAAACAAATAAAATATATATAACTGAAACTTTCGCATTCCAAATGGATCATAAGATTATTTTTAGAGCTGCCATGGAAAGAGTTTCTGAGAACCAAATTGCCTTCTCTTCATCCTGATAATCAGAAAGGATATTTTTCTCTTTAATAATGAAAAATCTTGAAAGATATTATAAGGCCAAGTTAAGATACATACTTTCGTACCAAGGAGAATTTATGGTAGACGAAAAATCTATGTTGCAAAAATGGAATGATTTCTTCCGATTAATCTTGGATTGGATGATGACTGAAAAGGAGAGTATCAGAACTGACGCTATCTCATAATTAATACCATTCAATCACCATATCTATAAATACCACACCTTCCTCCTTTTCCTTCTCACCTTCTCACCTTTTCTCCTTTTCTCTTTCAGAAAAAAAAACCCTATAGTTTCATAGACATCATCTAGGTCTAGCAATGGAGTCTCGTTCTTACATGGTATATATCTTCATCCTTCATTTGTTTACTATTTCTCTTCAGTTTTTCTTTGTTAGTTAATTTATTGTACGTGGATTATGTCTGCCTTTACAGACTTGTGGAGTGAAAATCGACACGAATTCGGATGGATGGCATAAGTGCCTGACTAAAATGCTGAAAAAAATCCAAGGTAAAGTACCTCTGTCGTCCATGGCAACTTGTTTGTCTTTTTTTATTATTTTATCTTAACAATATCACTTTTGGCATGAAGTGTTGAAGTCTTTGTGTATTTATTATATGTATATAGGTGCATCTTATAATGTAGATGCAGAAGGAGGCATGGCATATGTTTCTGGGAAAGTAAACCCTAGGAAGCTAATAAGAAGGCTAGTGAAGGCTGGGAAAGAAGCAGAACTCTGCTGGGTAAGAACTGGAGATGAATTTACATATGGCAATGGCAATGGCAACAGATATTATGAAGACCAGAGATATTATGATCCCAGCAGTAACTACATGGGATTAACAGCAGGCCCTAATTACTATAATATGAATGGTAATTATGGACATGGATATAGCCACCACCATGGACATCCTATGAACAATTACTATCCACAGGCGCCATATTCATATAATTATTATTGAATATGAATTGGCTCACCTGATTTTGATTTCAGGGTTGTTGAGAACAACTCCCTCTTTTTTTTTTTTTTGTTTTTTTTTGTTTTGGAAGGGAAGAACTCCTTGTATATGTAGTATTCATAGTGTTCTTTTTTTTTTGTTTGGGCACTATGACTACTATGTATTGAGTTATAGACTTAGTCTACCTCTAGGAGGAAAGTGATATTATGTGGACTTTCCCCTAGATGTATGCTTTTTTGTTTTTTATTTTATTAAAAGGATTTCTATAATTATTGTTATATTATATTTTCCTTGTTATTATTGGATTCTAAGCTTTTATTAGGATTAAATATTGACACTCATCTTCGATGTAGTTTTTTTCAATCAATAGTGTATGGGAGATTCGAACTTGAAACCTCTTACAATTTTAAAAAGATAAGTACCACTAGACTAAAAGTTAGCATTTTTTGTAATAATTAATCTTTTTCCATGTGAGACCCGATTAATTTAACCTCACGCAATCACACAATTCATCATAATAGCAACAGATAAAAAAAAAGAGAGAAAAGAAATGATTATCTACACTGATTTATGGCCAAATTAAATTTTTAGTTCTTATAATTTCAGTTATGATGTAACTATTTTAATTTTAGTCTTGGTTAATTTTCAAGACAAAGACTTGGGAAAATTCTTGGGTGTGGCCTTCACATTGGTAAGGGATGTTACCATTCTAAGTGCTAGAATATGGGTGGGTAATCACGTGATAGTATGATCGTCTAACTTAGAACATGCCATTTTAGACTGAGAAATTGAGAAAACCGTATGAATTGGATGGACTGGTCTGGTGTGGGGCAATGTTCTCTCTTTTATGATTTAAAATCTGTCCGAATTGAAACCAACCGAAATTGTTTACTTCAAGTTTTTGTTTTCACTTTTGTTACTCCTTGCCATTCTCCCCTCTCATCTTCATTCTCAATCCCATCTTCTCATTCTCACTTTTATTCTCCCTCTTTTTTCCTTTATACTCTAGAACAAAAAATAAAAAATAAATACTAAAAAGTAAAATTGAAATAATCAGGCCCTTATTATATCACTTACCATACATCCTCAAACAGCTGAATATTCCACCATATTAGATCTAATATCAAATTTTCTTATGCAAGGAGCTATGTAGCTCAAGTGATTAAGAGCATTTATCCTTCCTGAAGATCCTAGGTTCTGCTATATATAAGGCTCGAGCTAGTAAAGATTTGAGTTTATAAACTCTGGGTAACCACAAAATCTCTGTTTCAGTTCACAACTTGCATTATACATTTGCAATCTTTTCATTTGATCCTTAAATAACCATCCAAGTGTTTTGCAGGTGCACTATTCTCCCAGGCTAGCTCTTCTGTTCTGTGCAGATGCCGCATGCATATATGGATTGGTGGTATTCTCTCAGACACAGACACTACTGGTACAACCCTTCATCTTTTGGGTTTGCTCCAATGAACTGAATGAAACAAGAGAGGAATATAATTATGCGTTTTCTATTATACATGGCACATTATTTTTGGTTCTGCTGGTTGAATTTAGAGTAAATGGCTATTTGCTGGGCTCCATAATTCAGAAACAATTTTTACAAAAGATTGCAACATCAGCACCTTTAGTCAGCTACTGACTTTGTTGGCTTATTTTCTTTTTTGGAGTAATAATTTTTTTCATTTGAATGTTTCTTTACAACAATTTGAGACACACAACCAAGTTACTACGCTAAGATAGTGACCTCTAACCAATCCCCAGTGTCGTGATTTATTGGCGGGTTAATTAAAACCTTTTGCCTCAATCTTTCTGGGGAAGAGTTTATTGAAGATTGCTCCTTTGCAGGTTCATCATATATATCTTATACAGTTTACTTTATTTTCTTCGTAAGGCAATTACTTATTTGTCCTTTTGTATCAGTCATTTAAATTTGACTATTGACTAATTCCAAGTAAAACCTCAGACTGTTTTTGTTTTTAATCCAATAAATTCTCATGACCAATCAGTTGAGTTGTGGAAGATTGTTTACTTTTGCTACAAGTTTGGTTACAAGTAGGTTACTCAAAGGTTATAAATGGGTTCCATCTGAGTTAGTTCTTTCATAAATTTTTATGCAAAGCAATAGCAAGTAAGATGACTGACAAGGGGGTTGTGCCTATTGCCTATAAGGTAGCAGGTCGAACTCGAGCTACTCATGTGTTTCTGCTGCTTATGCTAACCCAATTGTTTGTTATGGCAGCAGAGGCAAATACTCAGGACTGTAAGTTTTGTTCATTTACTATGTCATTTTTTTTTATAGTGCAGCTGATCAGGTTTTCTTCCTTAGTGTTGGTAGTTAGAAGTTAGAACCATTAGCTGTTTCCCTTGTTATACCAAAAAAAAAAAAAAAAAAAAAAAA